ATCAACTTGTAAAATAAGATTTTTATTCATTTATATACTCTAAATTCAACTTGTAAAATAAGATTTTTATTCATTTATATATTCTAAATTGATCTTATTTCTATTCGATACAACCAACTCTAAACAATGTTTTTTTCAAATTTTACTACTAAAGATTTTATAAATCAAAAATATTATTGTACTATAGGATACCTAATCCTCCAACTGTTCGACCATAACCTACAAATTAAACCCAATGCAGGCCATTTCTCAAATGCCCCGTAATGACATCCCGACCACCTTTATGTGGCGACCCAACTAAGAACAACCGACTAGAAATAACATACGACCATTTTGGCGTTGTTGTCCAGTTGAGGGCCTCGACATATCGACACGACCTACGTCGTCCGCACCAGATCGACACGCATTATGAATCGACATACAATATGGCGACAATCGTGATCCTAGCGGTTACAAATAAACAGTTACGCATATTTGGCTAACAACGCCGTTGAATCCAATGAAGTACTTACTTGACTCCAATATCTAGCATTATAACTGTATAATAGCCAACCCTCCCAGTAACCCACCCGCAGATTTCATAAACGGTTTTATTTTATTTATTTTTTAATTAAAAATCCACAAAATTTTTTAAACAACAATCCATACAAATCAACTCAGATAACTCAAGTACGCTTTTTTCTTCCCCTAAGTAGAAAACTTTAATAGAAAGATATTCAAGTGCTCATTAAACTAAGAACATTATATTGAACTTGAGCGTCGGAAGTGCCCTTTTTGCAGGTCTAACCCTAGCCCCCGTACTCGATCCGTTTGAGAGAAGAAGAAAGACGACACTAGTGAAAGCAACAAGAGAAGGAAAGAAAGTCGGTTGTTAGGTTTCGTATCCTTTGGTCCTACAAAAAATCCCTACCTTGAAACATTTTTGTTTGGCGCCCCCCTACGTGGGGCCCCGAGATTACTATCCCCAACAACGACCACCGCGAGCATGGAACATTCACATACGCAACGATTTGACAAAAGTCAGCAATTGATTCGGCAATTGAGGCACAAGCACAAACCATGCAGGAGACTCTCACACGTTAAACCCAGCATGAGATAAGCCCGCTGTCGAGCACCGATACCCCGCCCCAACAGAGTTATCTTCTCTCCAACAGAACAGGAGGATAACGAGGGCCAGTCATCATGGGAGAGCCTCTGAAAACGAGCCGGTGGAGGAAGGGGGGCCTACCCTATGCGCCCTCAACTAACCAACTGTTTCCATTCAACAGAGGCCATAAATTCAAGCAACCATGCCAGACAAATGGCCCCCCTCCAACTCCTGGAAACGCCTACAATGGCCTCTGAAACGATCCAGATGAACCATTTTTAACGTAATTCATAAAGATGCCATGGCCTTAATAACTGACACAGCGATCCGGTGATAATGATGCAGCTTTCTCCTATAATCCCTTAAAAGGGGACGCTCAAGAATGGTTCCATAAATCCCCACCCCCGTAATTCCTAGATTTGGCTTTGCAAGCACCGTCCGATATCTTTATTCCGAAAACATTACGCCAGCCAATAAAAACCAGCGATGACTGCTACTGAGGACTTGTCTAACCACGCAAGAGAAGATGAGACCCTGAAACTTCATTCATGCCACGTATCATTCGAGACGGCAACGGCCGTGCCAGATATTACTCCCACCCTTTATCATCAGCACCTGTCAGTCCTGCCGTAGGCCATGTACCAAGTCTCAGAACCCATATAATGCTGACCCTCCAGCATCCCATGGGAGGAACTCCAATCCACGATGGCGATTCCCAATCATCATCCGCTCGAGATGCACCACCGTAACTCCAGGAAGACACAACCCAGCAAGATTGCCCCCTAACCCGTGAAACAGGAAACCAACGAAACGACCCCCCCAATGAACTACAGACCAGATCGAAACCTAAGGAGAGTCGGGTGGACGTCTAAATAACGATCGCTACCAACGACTATCAACGCACCCAAGGGCGAGAGTGCTAGAAGATGCCTTACACGCCGAGCTTCTCACCGTTCTGCGGAGCGCCACCCCAAAGAACAACGGATAACAGAAAACTTCCGGTTCCACATGAAACCGTGGGCACGACACGACGAATGTAACGCGTAAGAGACGAGTTAGAACGACTCATTCCGTGGCAGGTTAATCTCCAGACTTGTCAAGGAAGAGAGTTTTCCGCTAGAGCCAACAACTCTCCCCGAAGAGATCCCTCCTTAGGGCGCAGTCCCCAGCGATCCCTCCCCCTAAACAGATTGATCGACAGCACCGTAAGGCATCGCCAGTCACCTCGACGCACTGAGAGAGAGAGCCGCTCAGTCAACGAGGGGGCCGAATCACACATATTCTGGTGGTTTTTGCGGGGTGGGATGGCGTGTCGGCCTTCGGCGAGGAAGCGACATTTGAGACATGTTGAAGTCGTCCATATGGTCGAGCGACAGGCTCTGTCGATCCCTGACATCAACGTTCACTTTAACCTGACTTCCATGCCCCCCCGATCCTGATCATGAATGACCTATGTCATCACAAAGCTAATATAGCCTCGATGATGTCAGCCAGGTTTCCTCATCGACCAAGGAAAGCTCGGTTCAACAATTTTATATCTTGGTCCACTTTTTCACGAAAATGGACCTAATTCAGAGGACCTCCATCTGCCCCGTTTAATGAGCAATTGTCGATTCTCAGGAGAACGGGTTCGATAACAGGGATACTCTTGACCCTCGACACTCGGCTCGTAACGAGTCGAGAGGCACCAGAACTTTCGAGTTTCGATTCCTGCCTGGTCGAGGCAAAATGCAATCGTACAACGCCCCTGCTTAGGACGACCTTGTCTGACGTGCCGTTTTTGGGGCCAATCCGTATCTACTCCTCACCCTCCGCCATGAAGTTTCCCCAACCAGACATGGTGGGGCATTTGTGTACTGTGAGGCCGATCAGCGCCAGCTCGACAGTGGCATGGTCTCCCGGGTTTAAAAAAAGAAAAAAAAAACTCCCTTCGTCCCAACCAGACGGACCAAAAGGCACCCGAGGCAAGCGGCAGCCGATCTGACCCCCCCACCCCCCGCACCAAGTAACGAGCGTCTACAATCCGCCAAGGCGAAAGTCAACTTCCTGTTCCTTAAACCGACAGACACATCCAAAACCACTAGCAATTGGCGGAGATCGGACTCACCTCCACGCAGAGCAACGATTTGGGACCATTCTAAACGGAAACAACGCAGACTTGTTCGCATGACAGCTCTGAATATGCCAGGCAATCCCATCCCCGGGGTCCATGGCCCCACACAAGTTATCCATCCCCCTTCCGGGAGCACGACCTGGTCGGCCCAGAAAGAAGCGACGTCCGGGGAAGAGAAACGCCAGGCTATCCCAACTGAGGTTTGGGAATGGTAGGGGTGAGCGTGGCGATGCCCCGGTCAATGTTTCCATCCAGAGAATTGACGTAACACTACGGGCCCTTTGTCAAACGTAGTTTAATGGTCAAAAAGTCCACGGCCAATGGAGAATGTGTGTCGATTTCACTATCTTAACAAGGCCATGTCCTAAAGGAAAAAAACCGTACCCTTTTTTACCCAGCATCGATCGTCTGGTAGATGGGAGCTTCAGGTCATGTAATACTAAACGCTTCCTCGACCTTACCTCGGCTATACTCCAGTTCCGATGTACGAGCCCCGATCAAAGCAAGACAAAGCCTTTATTTACCGACGCGCAAAATTAAATTCTTGTTAATGAGTAATGCCATTTCGGGTTTGAAAGAACCCGGAGGCCTACATCCTTACAACGCCTTATGGATGAAGTAATCGTCAGTCGCCGTCCATCCTTTCTATATCTAACGCATGTTACACGCGTCCCCCTCAACTTCCCTACAGGAGCGGAAAACCCAAAATTGTAACCCCCGTACAGCTGTCATAACACTCACCAACTTACTTAAAAGTCCTTCATAACTCTGCACATCCACCCATTTACTCGGACTTGGGGGGCTTTGTACTATAGGATACCTAAATCCTCCAACTGTCGACCAAAACCCGACGACCAATTTAAATAACCCAATGCAAGACATTCTCATGCCCGTCATGAATCCCCGACCCTATTGTGGTCGAACCACTAGACAGTCGCCGACTATATAACATAACGACCATGTGGCGTTGTCGTCCAGTTGAGGGGGCTCGACGAATCGAAAACGTCGTCCCGCCCAGATCCGACCCGCATGAATGATCCGACATACAATATGGCACATCCGTGATCTAGCGTTACAATAAACAGTGTAGCATATTGGCTAACCAAAGCGCCGTGAATATGGAAGTACGTGTGACTCCAATATCTACAGTTATAACTTATAATAGCCAACTCCCAGTAACCAACCCCCGAGATTTCAGGTAAAACGTGTTTTTATTTTTATTCCTTTAAATCAACACAAACACGCATACCAGAAAAAAAGGTACTTTTTCCCCTAAGAGAAAATTAAGAAAAGATTCAGTTGCTCAACTAAGACCATTTATTGACGTTGAGCGTCGGAGTGGCCTTTGCAGGTTACCCAGCCCACCGTACTCAGAGCCTTTGGAGAAGAGAGAAAGACGACATATAGTGAAAGCAACCAAGAGAAGGAAGAAATGTAATTTGTTATGTCGTATCTTGTCCCCTACATCCCTACTGAAACAATTATAAAACAAAATATTAATAAGTCCGAGACATTTTCAAGATTGGAAAACATTTTTACTTATGTCACATCAATATTTTCTAATAGGAACTTCTTTTTTATAAAACTTAAGTGGTAAATGCCCTAATACACTTTTAGTTGAAAAATATTTAAAAAGAAAGTCTTTTTTGTGCACTAACATAAAGAAGCAAAGTAATAAAGTCAAACACAAAACAAGGTCTAATGTGTAAACTTCCTAGTTTGTTCGTTTTAGTTTCTTAGTTTGTTCTTCCTTTGAATCTAGCAACTTTTACAACTTTTACTATTAATTATTAATTATTAATTATTATTATTAATTATTATTATTATTATTATTTCATAGTATATACCCACCTTGCTGGACTTTGACGATAAAGTAGCACAACCAAGCCTCTCACTTGACCCTTTGGACTAAATCCTCTATAAATTACCACCATTTTCATTTTCATCAACCACCAAAACCCTAAAATCATCTTCAACTTCATCAAATTCCTTTCACTTTTTTCAATAATCCTTTCCCTAGATTTCATATTAATCTTTACCACCTTATATTATATCTTATATTATTATACTTTGGTCTAAATATAATGGGTGTCATGTGCACATGGGAGAGTGAGAAGACGGAGATGGAGGCCTTTTGCCGGAAATTGGTGGTGGCCGCCAGAAAAGACGATGAAGGGGGAAGAAACCACCACCTTGTTTCTTCTTACTATGAAGATGGTGATGAAAAAGGGACATTGTTGTGTGTTACAAGTGGTGTTTCTTATGTTGGACTTGCCTTGGTCAACCATCTCTTGCAATTAGGTTACTCTCTTCGGATCACAGTTGAAAACCCAGGTAAACTTTTCATCAACTTTCGTTTCCTTTTCCATAATCACTTTGATTCAACCTTAAAAACTTCAAAAATCGAATTAAAAACTCAGAAAAATTGCTTCTTTTTCGTTCATGAATAAGCTAAGAAAAAAGCTTATGATAAGATTATTAGGTGTTCTTTCTTGAACTGGGTTTTGTTTATTGGGTACGATCCATTTGATTATGGTTTTATGGTTTTATGATTTTCTCATTGAATTTATGTTTTGAAGCTGAAATTTTTAACTGGGTAGTTGTGATGGAAACAGGGGAAGAGATTCAGAAAACACGATCTTTATAAAAAATTTCAACACCTAATTCGCATTTTCCAAACTTTAGGTAGCATAAACGTTTTATTTATTCGTTAATTATTCTCTAATAGTTCATTAATTAATCTAACTAGATAGTTTATGAATTTTTCTGTGTGAAAATGAAAAACCTTTACATTTAAAAAATGATTTATTAAAAAAAACAGTTGATTCTTCTGCCATGAGAGAGTTCCGTCAGGGTTAACTCAACTCGTGAGATGCATTTTGATTAATTATTTGTTTGCAAAATTTAGGTTATTTGTTGTTTTATTAAACTTAATATGAATTTGAGTTTTTCAAACTTGTTGCGTGGAATATGATTGTTTTGTGTGATGAAAAAGTGTGCATAGTTGGCAATTTCATGTCCACAAAGGAACAAATATTCAAATTGGTGAAATAGTTTTATCTTTTTTTATATTAAAATTTGAATGTTAAAAGTTGTTTAAAAAATTGAATTTTCAAAGTTTTTTTATTAAATATTTGGGTAATAAAATCATATTAATTAGTATATTAATATTTGAAAGAACAAATTCAACATTTAATTATAAACAAAGTATCGAGAGTAGTTGCTAGATAATGTTATTATATATATTGAAAAATTTTCAATTTTTTTATATGTTTCATAAGATGAGCAAATTGATTACTCTAGTGTGCAAATTTTGAATGAGGAATAAGTCACATATACCAAAGATCACATTCAATATATAATATTATTATTCATCTTATACTTTCTTTAGTGGCTTTCTATTTATTTTCCTTCAAACTTTCCTTATATTTTTTTTATATTTTTAATAAAGAATATTTACCAATTTTATGTCAATTTTTTTCTAACATTTTTATTGACTTATTTAAATTATATATATAAATATATATATATATATATATATATATATATATATATAAATATATAAATTCAATGTCTTCATATTAGTATTTTGTTTATTGTGGTGTAGTAAAGTGTATCGTGTATGCTGACAAACCAAAGAGTGCTGATGCAAGAAGTTATCGAATAAAAAAAAATACACGTTCTTTTTCCTCCATTAATTTAAGGGGAAAATTATATTAATATAATTGGAGATTAATTAAAAAATTATTCTTCTAATAAATAATTTTCTGTGCTATATATAATCTGTATTAATTAATATGATAATATAAACCCATAACAAACTATACAAATGGATATAATTGGTACGCGTCATATCCAAATTAATCTCGACGGTCCACAATAATTATTAGATGTCTCTGCATATGATGTGATATGATATATTTTTTGACTGCAATAATATACATTAAAAGATTCAGATGACTTTTTTTTTTAATTTGAGCAATTATTGACTTCTACTTCTTGTATTTTTAATTTCATTATTTTTTTATATTTAAATTTCATGAATTTCGATGATGGAGATTTAAGAATATTTAAAATGGTATATATAAAAACTAAAATGTTTAACATCATATATATTGAGCCATTTAATCATATTTCTTTTATGGTAGATGTTGTGTAAGGGTGAAAGGTGAAAATTATTTTTTCATTAAAGTTAAAATGCATGAAAATTCTTTTTCTATTGTTTTCAATGTGTTTTCATGTGATTATTAATATTTTTGTAGAGTTAATTAAGATTTAAATATTTTATTAATTTAAGTATTTTTAAATAAATTTCTAGACTTTTATTTTTATATGTTATTTGGTTTTTTATAAATAAAAAACACAGCAAGTAAAACAATTAAGAATTACTATGGAGGAACAGCAACACCAATAGCAATGAACATAACAATAAATGCAGCAACAATAATGATACAGAAAGGAAGAAAGAATTCATCTTTATTCTATTGTTGAGTGAATGTTGTAGAAGATGGTAATAGTTAAGAATGGTTGGTTGATCTGTGCAGAGGAGATGGAGAAAGTGAAGGAAATTGAGAAAACTGCAGAAGGAAAGTTGGAAGCAATAATGGCAAAGCTAACTGACATTGATGGGTTGGAGAAAGCATTTCAGGGCTGTCGTGGAGTTTTTCACACCTCTGCATTCACAGATCCTGCAGGTCTTTCTGGATACACGGTAAGAACACTTTTTTCTGCAGTAATGCTTCTAGATTACAATTCGTTAGGGTTTTAGATTTATTACTTTAGGTTAATTAAATTTGTATTCTGTAAACTGGTTTTTTTACTGTGTGATTTTAGTGTCTTTCCATTTTAGAAAAATCTGCAATTTGATTGATTAAATTATCTATAATTTTTTATTTACCCTTCTAAATGTGACACCTCATCTACCTAACTGGAATGTCCAAAAACCTGTCTCTTTGGGAAATAACTGCTATTTGGAAAAAACCCTTTTGGTTAGGTGACATCAACAACACCAATAAATGCATAAACAACTTATTGCAGGATAAGTGTTACAGAAGAGCTCATGAGCATGTGCATGATTGAACAAATTACTCTGTGTTTTGAAATTTTCATTTCACAAAACTTTGTTAGTTAGACAGATAAAAGAGATGTTTATACTTTTTTATCCCTGGTTTGGCTTAAACACTGATTTGAAATCACACTAAGCAAGATTTAGAGAAGTTTCTGAAATCACAATGAGCTACATTCATGTAAACACCATCAAGGAACTATTATTAACAATATCTAGAAGAAAAATTACTGTATAATATCTGAGCAATTGTTTGTCTGATTTCTAGAAATCAATGGCTGAGATTGAAGTAAGGGTTGCTGAGAATGTGATGGAAGCATGTGCAAGAACACCTTCAATAAACAGATGTGTGTTCACTTCCTCACTAGCAGCTTGTGTGTGGCAAGACACTGCACAATCAGACCACACCCCAGTTATTAATCATGGCTCTTGGAGCAGTGAATCATTCTGCATAGAAAAGAAGGTAACTTTGCACAGTGGTTTCACCTCATTGGTGTTATTTTCTTAGATTTTTTTACCATCTAACATGTTTATGTAGGTAAAAAATGATCATTCATGACCATGCTTTGTGTTTTGAATTTGTATGGCAGCTCTGGTATGCACTGGGGAAGATGAGAGCAGAGAAGGCTGCTTGGAGAATAGCCAATGAGAGGGGTTTGAAACTCACTACCATTTGCCCAGCTCTAATTACAGGTCCTCAATTTTGTCACAGGAATCCAACAGCAACAATTGCTTACCTCAAAGGTACTACTATTGACCAAAACGGTCCAATCTCTTGTTCCATTGGCTATCAAGTTTCTGAGTTTAATCAGTATTTTGCTAACTCATATCTCATTTTTCATGTAACTGCTATTTTAGTATATATACTACCTTGAGTTCTTAGGATGTAAGTTATATATCTGAGAACAATCTTCAACTGGTTATTGTCTATTATTTTGAAAAAGCATAATAGAATCTAAAACCTTAAAATTGCTGATGTAGGTGGTCAAGAAATGTATTCTCTTGGTCTGCTAGCAACCGTGGATTTGACCAAATTGGCAGAAGCTCATGCAAGTGTGTTGAAGGCAATGAACAACAATGCTTCTGGTAGATACATTTGCTTTGATAAAGTAATAGATTCACAAAGTGGGGCAGAGAATTTGGCCAAGGAGATTGGAATGCCTAAGGAGAAAATATGTGGAGAAACATCAAACAGTTCTGTACAAAGATTTGAACTATCTAATGAGAAGTTATGCAGACTCATGTCAAGGCCACTCAGGTGTTACAGTGAATATCAGATGAAATAATGTTACTATGTTTGCTGGGAAAGTTGGTTGGTTTATTTATTTATTTATGGTTTGCCTTAGCCATATAATTAGATGAGAAAAATAGATGAGGCATGTTATATAGTATATTCAGTAATTAGTAATGTTTGTATTCATTTATGGTTTAATTGTAATATATAATTCTATTCATCTGTATACCAAATCATGCAAATTTTCTGACTTCTGAACTTGGCTACTACTGCATTTTTAATAATAATAATAATAATAATAATAATAATAATAATAATAATAATAATAATAATAATAATAATATTTAAATAATCAGTTAATAATGCTTTGAGGAATAACTAAATCTGAATTAACTGAAATATTCTTCATACAGGAAACTAAAATCAGTATGGTGAGGTAGATTTGAAGTGTAAACTAAAAAATTTAGCATGTTAGAAGTGAAAGATTACAACAATTGAATTGTTAGCAGTTTCAAAGGTAAGGTAGGGTTTATGTTTTCTCAACAATGTGACAGTTGGTGGTAGGTTCTATGTTGCACCAGAAAAGAAAAATGATGGATTATGAAGAACAGAATTTGGTATACAACATATTAAAGTTTATTGCAATACTATACACCTCACAAAGTCAATGTATATGCCATTTGCTTCACTGCAATAAATGGTGAATGTAGTGCCTTAAACTGTGATTTGTTAATGCTTTAGTTTAAAAAAATGAAATTAAAAATAAAAAAATAAATGGTTGATTTAGATTAAACAAATTACAATTTTATAAATTCTTTTGAGAAATTGTTTACACCAGAAATTATAGTTCAGAAAGATATTTGCTTTTGACTTTTGAGTGAGCTTAATTCATTAAAAAAAAAAGATAAAATAGAAAATGACATAAGAAATAAGATTGGAAAAGAAACACAAAAAGATATGATTACTCAACATAACTACTAACAACTTTTGTCTTCATTCCAACTAACATATTGAATCATGTCTTAAAAAGAAAACATTCTAAATCTTGAATTATTTTATTAATGTTCTCAAATGTTCCTTTAGACTAGCCTCAACATATTAATAAATTGTATATTTCAATTTCAAATTCTAAACTTTGATTCTATTTCTGGTGGTGATTTAACTTGTGATTGTTATATAAATGTGTATTAGAAATTAGGACATATTTCATAAAAAAAATGACTTAAAAACAAAGTTAATATTGTATGTGTTTCAAAAACGAAATTAATTTTAAAATATTGATATAATAATTTTTAATATTGAAGATGGATTTAAGAATTAGTTCAAAGAACTATTAAATGAAAAAAAAAATCTTACTTAGATTAAAATAACCTTTAAGGTAAGAAGAGGTTGCGAAAAATGCATTTTCTAAAGTTTAATTTTTTTGAAAATTTCATATTATATATAATTAATTGATAAGTCAACGAATACAATACGTAATATGGATTAATGAATATTTTACATTGATTTTGAATTTGATAAAATGTATTGGATATGTTAAAACCACCAATTAAATAGCTTAAATATACTTTTTCAATGGAAACCCTTAATTTATATCTATTACAATTAAACATGTTAACGCAGCAATATAAACATTCATTAACTTTTATTTGAAGAGTAGGTTCCAAAGAATACAATAAAACTATCAAGGGAGATCAAATTTATGAGAAAAAATTACAAAGACTTATTTGAAGAATATCTTTTTATTAATAATTCATAATAATTTTCTAAAGTTTTTACATTTTCAATATCTCGATTATTTCTAACTAATATACTTTAAAGTATTCATACTTAATGAGTAATAATCTCAAAACCTGATTTTATCGAACAGTAAAAAATGCAGTGGATCGACTCACCCTAAGTAAGATAGATTAATATATTTAGGATACTCTATAAATGTATACCCTTCTACACTTATAAATAACCAAATTAAAATCTCAAATCTATACTTTTAAATGGTAAATCAAAAGGAATCAAGTACATTAACTTACAAAAATAGATGGACCTTCTTCAAAACACAAAAATGAAAAAAAGCACAAAAGCATCTAGCTCGCCCTTGGAGTTGCCCATTCAACTCTGAGTATGAGATTGTCGTATCCATACCCATTGAGTTTGGTGATAGCCCGTTGAGCATCTTCCCTGTTGACAAAGTTAACAAAGCCAAAACCTCGGCTCATGCTGGTCTTCTGATCAATGGCAACATAAACTCTGCTTACGGGACCAAAAGGACGGAACAGCTCCATCAAATCAGGCTCTCTTGTGTCTTCAGAGAGGTTGGTAACCCTCACAGAGTTTTCATCGTTCCTGCGCCGCATATCTGATCCACCACTCCTCTCAGCACCTGCCCTCATACCAGGAGGCACGTAGGCTCCCTTGGTTGCACCACCTGTTGCTGCTGCAGCATCTAATGTTGCAGGCTTATCCACGAATCCCTCAGATGGTGGGGCAAGATCCTTGTATGGACACCTTGAGGTCCAGTGATCGCCCTTCTTCCCACATGTCCTACACACCATGAGAACAGCACCTTTCTGGAATTGAGCCAAGGGGTCTCCACCAGTCTTCGGCTCCTCTGTTTTCGAGCCTTATAACAATCACAGAAACACAGTAATTAAATACTGATGATAGGATAGATCAATCCTATTATCCTCCTCTATAACAATCCTATAATTACTTAGAAGAAATCTAGATATCTATGCTTAACAAACTGATCTCAAGTTCACCTTTTCACTCTCATGCACAACCAAAGGTTTTTAAAAACCCCGTAATTTTTCTTGTGTTAAAACTGTTTCCCTAAATTTTCTTTACAGATTCAGCAATCAATTTCTCATCCAAAATCTACTGGGTTATAAATTTGTTCAAGACATATAAGTGTTTTGAAATAAAAAATCAGAATCAACTGATAGAGAAATTCTCCTTTCTTGTTTAGTTTTCATGATGTTCAATTTCTCCCATACACAACCTCTATAAAACAGTGTGTAATTGTCAGTTTCGGAAAATCAAATTGAAAGTTAAAAAAAAATGCTACAAATCATGACGCGTTTCAATTCTGAAGGTCATCCAGAATTGCGAACAGAAAGAGATTACTCAATGTAATTGCAGTTTATGCATTTTCTCCAATAGCTTTTTATGAGAGACATTTCCACAGTGCAATTGCTAAAGAAAACAGAGAAATTGTAATATAAACGGTAAAGAAAGGTGGATTCCACAGAGAGGTGTTACCAAGAGGCTTGGGGCGTTCGAGAAGGATCTCTTCGGTGGAGACCATGGTGAGGCGGCTGCCAACGTCTTCGTGGACGGCGTCGCCGAACTTGGGCCAGGACCGACGCTCGACGGCACGTTTGCTGAGACGCGCGTTGGCGAGCTTACGTGTGCGCGTGGTGGTGGTGATCTTGACCTTGTTTCCGTCGTCGTCGAACTTGTACTCAATTATTTTCTTGATGCCGTTCTCATCTGGCCCTATGACCTGTCGCGGCGGGAGGAGGAAGTCCAGATCCTCGCCGTCATCCTCCTCCAGCTCGCCCCACCGCAACTTCGTCGGTTCCGCGTGATGCGCCGCCATCGCCGCAATCCTTCTTTCTTCTCTACGATTATGTTCTCTGTCGCTTCACACTCACTGTAACTCAGAAACGCCCACACCTAGACAAACACAGAAGCACCCGATTGTAAAATCAAGAAATTAGGTCTCTTCTCTTGTCTTCTTCGATCATTGGGTTTGGGCTCTCAAATAAAGCCCATGCCAAATTGCTTTGCTCTGTTTTGATCACGAGGCTTTTGCTTTATACACCTCCATAATTACTAAATGCACCTCCTAACTTTTGGGAAGTGGCGATTCATAAAACAAAAAAACATTATGTAAGAGATTAATAATTTAAATTTGGATATCTACCAAAGTCTTTTCTTTTTTCATAATACAACATTATTCTTTTCTCATTTTTTTAACAATTAAAAATATATATATATTCTTCAGTATTTGCTGACTATTATTACTACGGTTGTAAAAAATACTATAAAAAATAACGTAATTCATTCCCAAATTAGTAGGTTTTTCTAAACATAATTAATCTGTTTTAAAAAAATACAATTTATATAAAATACCAATTTCGATTATAAATGAAAATCAACACTTGTAGCTTCATCAGAAGTTTAAAAATATTTATTTTTTCTTTTATATAATTGTTTTTCCCCTAGCTTCTTCCATGTTAAAGTTTTCAAATAAGTTGGTCCAAATAATAGATACTACATCAAGTAATATAAAATCTAGATGTTATGCATTTGACATATCATGCGTTTGACACATACATGTGCATTCAGTAATTTAGAACCATCAGATAAAAATAGATTTATACTTTTACTTGATCAAGTAACATACATATATTCAAAATCTTAGTTGCAGGATCTTAATATATTATTCAGCTGTTACAAATGCATTGGTGAATATGTTCAAATATAACCAATTTGTGTTATGCAAAGTAATGGTCTAAACAATTTTTTTTTCCATCAACACTTTTGAATGTTATAATTGTAACTTCCGTAAATTTCATTTTGAACCCTCATTACTCAAATTTTTCGTCTTTCACCTCATTCTTCAACACTAACTTTTTTTTTCTTTTTATGCTAAATTTTTAAAATATACTTTGATCTTATTTGTCCATCAATGCTTTTACGTTGTTTTTTATGTACAACATTTACAATGTAATAATAAAAGAAAAATAATAATAAAACAATAAACACAAAAGAAGGAAGGAGATAAAAAATTATGGGCGCTCAAATTTACATCCTCTATTCATCCATTTTAGAAATCAATTGCACCTCTGAATAGTTAGAGTGTCGAGCATTTTAAACTGGTTGATTTTTTCAAACAAAGTCTCTAAAGAAGACAGTTCTGTCAGCATTTAGCAAAAGTTAAACTATAAGAAATCGATATTTTAAGTTAAGGGAAGCTAGAATTCTTCTTTTTTTTGTAATTTCTTTAAGCTCAATATTGTTAATTATGTTGTGAAATTGGTACCTCTAAGTTGATTTCATAGCTAAATTAAGTTATATATATATATATATATATATATATATATATATATATATATATATATATATATATATATATATATATACGAGTCTAAGTTGAAATTAATATATGATTGTTTTTATCAAATTTTCACTCAAGAGAGTAAATTATCGCTTAGGCTGTGTTTTTTTAGATGGATTTGAGGGAGATGATTTGAGGGAGATGATTTGGGGGAGATGATTTGAATGAATTTGAGTGAATTTGAGGATAATTTTTTTGTTGTTTTTTTGAGTGGATTTGTGGGTAATTGAGAGTAGATTTGAAGGTAAAGTTTGTGAGAATTAGTGTAGGATTTGATTGATGTGACAGATAAAACAAAATTGTTTAACTAATAGAAATTGAAGATTACCAAAATATCCCTAATTATTAAAGTGATATAAAATGATAATTTTTAATGTTATATTTAATTGTAAAAATGTTTATAAGAAAAAAAAAAGTAATAAATATAAAAGGAAAATAATAATAAATATAAAAGAAGGGAAGAAGATACTTTGAAATAATAATAACAATTCATATATATAATGTTCTCAAGTATATTATATGGATTGTTGAATTGGTGAATGAGAAAATTATGATCTTTAGTTTGTGATTTAGTTATGAACTTTGAGATTATATTTTCTTAAGGAAAAATTATTGTATGTAGAATCATAGTTTGGTGTATAAATGACACTAAATGTATTTTTGAAATCATTATGACTGGTGAGTCGAGAGAGGTCTATATCTAAAGGGTTGGTTACAAGGCGCCAGCAGGGACGGCTAGCCTCTTAAGCATAGATGATTAATGTTAAGGAGATTAAGGTAAATCGCGTTTAAGGGTATTGGACCGGGATTTGGTTGAGATTAAAATATTGTTAACCTAGGCCCATGCCAAAAACTATAAAAGGTAGGTAGAGGAAATTATTGTGCATTTATTACTGTCATTGTCATGCCGGACGAGCAAACAAGACTGGACGACAAGGAAGGACAAATTGTGAAGGTATTCAGTGACTCAGTCCCATAACCGAAACAATATATATATATATATATATATATATATATATATATATATATAT